ATTGCGTTGAAAAATCAACAAAGATGTCGCGGAGGGTTTTCCTTCTGTCTTTTTAACAATCTTTATTCTGGTACAAAAACATGTGTCATTACTTGTTAGCCGCTGTTTATGATCATTTACTTATTCTTTCCCACCACTAGATGTGCTTGCTGAAAACATGTGACTTTATGCATAGTTTATTGATAAAAGAAAATCAGATCACATGGTAATGCTTTCAATTCGAACATAGGATGTTTGGATGGAGAAGAAATCATGTGATCATGTTTTTCTGAAACTGGTCTATGTGATCATAATGTTGGACACGCGAGAATGTCCCAAAATATGTAATTCATCACGAGGGATGCAGGCACAGCAATTGAACAAACATAAATCGGAAAATGCTTGCTAAAATATTTTAATAAATATGGAAGGATTTATCGATGCTCTAATCGATGTTGGTATCATTTTAGTTTTTAATATATACTTCGAAAATTCACTGAACCTAATGCTATAATAAGAAAACAAACATTTAATCTTGATGTAAATCATGTTTCAATGTTTGCTAAATAGTGAAACAAGGAAACTCGAATTGATTAGGTGCTATAATATTTTAAGCATCTGTGGAATTGTCAAAGCGTTATTTAAAGTAGTTTCGAAAACCCATGCTTTGAAATATTACGTAACGAACAATTTTTAAATAATAATCGGTATTTATCATGGTTATGATCAGAAATACGACCAAATTAATGACAACATATACAAAGGTGATATGAAAGTTAATATCAGAGTCGGATCCGCTTCCCTTTTCATTTCTCCTCGAATCTTTCTGCCGGCCTTCCGCGCTTCAGTCTTTCCATATGAACAATCAGTGTTTTTCAAACCCAGATTCTGTGGTTACAGAACAAGCATTTCAAAGAAACTTACCTACTGTTCAAAATATCTTTGAATTTTTAAACCTCGGGAATACCACCTGACCTGATACTAAGAAACATTGTCTGCAAAAGGACATTGCTCAAACCGCTAATTAAAAAAACTTTTTGATAAAAAAGATTTGCCATAAATCTTATAATTCAATCCGCTATTAGATTTAGCCTTTCAAATTTATTTTTGTCTCGAAAAATGAATTAAGTCAACCTGAGAAAGTTCAATTTCATTCTTTTTCATTTGAGTTATCGAAAGAAGAGCCTCATCCCATGGAGGCGTTTGAAAGATAGAGAGAAATTTCCAGTATTGGAGGTCAATATGTAAATCATATTGCTCATGTGCATATGTTATCCAAACGAAAAGCCAGGTTATAATCTAAATCCTTCGCATCCAATGTTTTAGAAACAGAGTCTAACATAAGAATGGTGATAAGGGCTTTGCTCGCATTCTTTACTTTGCTCGAACAAAAGTATGTTTTTGCAGTCTATAAACTACGCAAATACACCCTTTGGTAAATGACTCGACATTAGTCGAGCAGAGACACCTTAAAGCATCAACTGTGGAGAGTAAAGAATTAGGAGATAACAGAATATTCTAATTTATGTTATAACTTCTTACTCTCCACGGTTGATGCTTTAAGGTGTCTCTGCTCGACAGTTTTTTTTGATAAAAACCAGTAGTTTGAGTTTCAGGCTGGTTGTTTTTAAGTTTTTCGAAAATCTGTGGCTGGATTGCTTTCCATTTGTTCTTAAATTATTAGGGTGTAAGCAGTGCAATTTTTCTTTTAAAAAGTTTAGTCCAAAAGCAAATTTTGTTGTTCAAACCCATAAAAGTTTTTCAAGAATTAAAGGAGAAATTGATGGAAAGAACAGAATTTGAATACCATTGGAATAGAGTTCTTCAGGCATCATGTCACAAAAAAGTATTTTGTTAACTCTCTTAAAGTTAAAAATCGATTAAATGTGTTACATATTGGCTGAGACATGACCAAATGGCCACAGGGTCCTCCCCCATCAAGCTTTTGAAATGTGTTCTCTGTTTGTAAAATTATAAGCCTAAATTTCAGTCACTCGCTTGAAAATTCATCTTTCATTGACTTTCAGTCACCATATTTAGAATGTATTTACCTAATTTTGTAAATTAAGGTGTATTTCATGGTTGTCTTCAAGGTAATGTTATCAAAACTAAAAAAAAATTAAAAATTGATATTTCTGTGACGTCACACTTAAGAACCGTACAGTTTCCTGAGAGTCTGTAGGTTTGGTAACCTAAAATTTGTTTGGGCTTTGCAGCAAGCCCACCTCCTTGGGGCCCGATGCTACTACAGGGCCCGAGCTGGCTCTCGAAGGCTCTGCCTACAGGCGAAGAATACAATCGAGGGGCCTTTTTCAACAGTAAATCAAGATCTATAGCCAATATGAGAATATGCTTCTTCTCTTAGCCTCCACTTGTCACATTTCTTCACTATTGGTGACAATGTCCGGAGCGTAATAATAATAGTTCCATTCACATAGAACACTGATGTTTGCTTGGTTTTGGTACTTCAAGTCTATCTTAATGTACAATATACAAGCTAATAAAATCACCGTTTCATCGTTCTGTCATTTAGAGCTTTATGCAGTATGGGCAGAGCTTCAAACATTACGGTATGGTCCTAAGTCGCATTTTCGAGTTTCTCGCTTAATGCGATCATCAGGCAGCTCGGAGGTGCATCCTTGCCTGCATCAAGCCGGAATTAAAAACTTTTCAGAAATTAATGTCCCTGTACTATTTTCTTTCGTCCCGTACATTTCCTAGCCTTTTTAACAATCTGTACCCTGGGTGCCAGAGCCTCAGAGAGTCAAAGGATGAAGAACGGGGGAAGGAATTGCGAAGGAGAATGAAAGAGGAAAGGGGAGTCTCCTTCGCAATTCCTTCCCCTGTTCTTCATCCTTTGACTCTCTGAGGCTATGGCACCCAGGGTAAACAATCTGTCACACCAAACTCGTGTGGACTGGGGAAAGGGGGCTGGAACAGGGGCAAATGGCAACTAACTGTAAAAATTTGATGACCACAAAAGCCACGGAATAAATATTAATATAGAGAGTTAATTTAATGGCCTATACCCTCTCATAAACAGGCAAAAGAGGGCTATAACCTTGAAAAGGCATATGTTTGTTCCAAATCATGCACATCAAAGCAAGGATTTACTTCACAGAGGTTCCACCAAGTTCTAGAGAACATTTAGAAATCGCGTGGTCAATGGAAGCTGAAAGCACAGTACATTAGAGACCTACTAAATCTTTGTGTTCCAAATCTTCACTCTTTGCTGGATACTTAGTAGCTGGGCAACAATCCCTTCATATCAAATTTGAACTTAAACAACCATGGATAAACTTTAAATGTAGCTTCTATCTTTCATCAAACAAATGAATCTCTAGCTAAAGTTAGTCTGGCAATAAAAGGTCACTGCTCACAATGCTATATAATCCCACGTATTTTATAAACAAATATATCGGAGATTGCTATTTGATGAAGAGCATTCTTGCAAAATTCTCTCTTGCGTGACAGACGAAGCATTCAAATAGATAATCCAGTCAACGGGATTTGGTAATAGGAACTTGTGAGAAGCATTTTGTTGAAGTCGCTAAAAAAAATTGCTTATGTGGATATTATTGGGGTAAAGGGAACAAATCACATTGAAATTTTATCTGAACTTTATAACTTGGTGCAACATAATAGCTTTGGTCTGTGAGATAACTGTAACAAAATGACTGAGGTCTGATCGTCGAAACCTGCTGGGAACAAGGTTTTAAGAAAAAGGTCTTTAGAATTTGGGTGCGTCCTGAAAAGTTCGAAGTTCGAAGTGGGTATCACTTCCCGGTCCGAACATATCGTCCATTTCTTACTTGGTCTAACATCATCGCATCGCTGTATTAAACACTTTTCTTATTTGCTGGATCTGCCATTTTTGTCCTAATTTTCACATAGTCACATTCCAAATCAAACGATATATCTTACCCATATAGTACGTTTATTGCCACATACGTTATGTTCTCGTTTCAGTTGAGTGTCAACGTTAAATTGTTAATAAATAATACAGAAATTGGGAAATCAAGATGTCTCGAGAAACATATTAATCTTAAACCAATAGCTATATTAACACAATTAACAGTAGAAGTGGCTCGAAAATAGATCCTTCGATCAGTCACACCAAACTGTAACGTAAAGCAATTCCTGTTGTTTTGATCTCTCGTTGCATTTTGTACTTCAATTCCATGTAGTTATTTCCTTTAGAACGTCGGTGCCAGATTTTGTGTTTTGGCAATGTGGTCACGCACAATTGTGTGAGTGTGTCACTGCTGTCAGTCCCTTTCAAACACCGCGGAGCGTTGAGAAAAGTGGGGGTCTAAAAAAAGTGGCGAAGGGGAGGGGGGGGGAGAGGGGGTTAAAACTATATAAAAAGAGGCTTTACTGGTAGTTTATTACTTAATATTCGGCTAAAGCCCCCCCTAGCCCCCTGCTTCGCGGTGCCTGCCTTTTCATTCTTTTGGTCGACTTTTGGACCGTGGCTTTCGTTAGCTAAAACTTTTACAATACATCACACTTCTTCCCTTCTGTTTAGGCCGTTTCCTTTCTCAGGGCCTCTCAGCTTAGCATTACTTTTGGCCTTGCCTCAAAAGAAACATCTTAGTTCTTGGTGTTTGATGGTTAGAATCAGGGAATGGTAGGGGTGGGGGCGAATTTCTATTTCCAAAAGAACAAAATCTATTCCATGACCAAAAGAACTGCTAAACAAGAGAATCAAGCAAGAGACACACTTCATCTTCAATGCAAAAATAGCAAATGTAGACCAGTGATGACCATAATATTGGGAAGGGGGAGAATCGGGCCAAGGACATGACTCTAACTATGCGTGATCTATTACAGACTTCTGAAACTTCTTACAATGAACATTTGGCAGGGAAATAATGGAGATTCAATCATATGAATTAACCATAAAGATGGAATTAACCGTAATCGAATTACAGGTAAAGGTTGCTTCAATTCAATTCAGCCAAGGTTACTGTTAGCGTCCAAAAGTCGTTTGGCACTTGTAAAAAACGTTTATTTGTTCTAAACAAGGTTCATAAGAAGTGGTTCCGGAGATAAAGACTTTCCTTCCGTGCTAAAGAGAATTGAAGAATAAACAAACAATATAGCTCTAAAAACAAACCCTATTTAGAGACGCAAGGGGTTGGTGGAATGTGGTGGAACTCCACAGGATTACACACAGTATGCAGAGCAAGCTGTGACTGAGTACCAGTCCACATTGACATCAACGAACCTAAATTAGCAAAAGCGTCTGGTCCTCTAACTACCATGGGGAAAAAGGCTGCAAAACTAGAACAAAATTCGTGGCCGATGCAGCTTGCTGCTTAGCAAAAGTCTCAAGCAATTGCTATGTTGTAAACACAGTGAATGTTACGTGACAATTTGTGGCTAGTTGAAGTTGGGTGCAACCAATCGGAAGAGCTGTTGCACCGACTGATGTGATGATGTATTTATGAGGAATGGGTGGCTCATGTCATAGTGTTCGTATCGAGTAAGTAAATTATTTCAAAATGATTGGGTTTACAGATATAGCCCCTGTTAACTGTAGGGGTGACGAATGTTAAGCTTTGGGGTATATCTGGTTGCGGCAAAACGATATCATTTGATATAATCACAATGGAACGAAATTGTGATCTCATTAAAAACGACTACATGCAACTTTCGAAACGTTCAGTTTTGAGGGAAACGTTGCCTCATGCGTACACACCCGTTCCATGCATATGGAGCCTTGCGCAAGATCCACCTTTAAACAAACCTTCCTTGTCAGGAGAGAGGAGTGTGGGACGGGAAAGGGAACATCGGTCGTGCCAAAAGTGGCGTGTTTTCATGCAAAGATCTTTGATATTCGCAGTTTGAGATGGGGGATGACGTCAGAATCTGTTATGTATCGCAGTTGTCTGTTGTTATTCTGTCATGTGATGAGAATTGATACAATTTAAAGCCACAAAGCAAGCAGGATGCATGCCAATGTAATCAACAACAGCAGGTTTGCTGCTATATTTTTAGGCAGAGGCAGTGCTGTCCTAGCAATGATGATAACAATGATTATTATGATGATTATGATCACAATTACTGCTTTGCCATTCTGCATGCGACTACACCATCAAGTTATGCAATAGGAAGGAGTTTGTTTAGCGTGACATATTTTTCATTTTCTTTTGATTTGAACTAGGATAGCACGATCACCAAGCCTTTTCTATTTAATCAGATGATTTGTCTCCTACCCCAAAATTATTGACGTTTCTTGGTAAAACTCTTTTAAAAGCAATCCTATCTATTACGCAGGAATAAAGGTGCGAGAATTAGGCGGATGCACAGGTTTATCAATCCATTTAAAATTACAGTAGAAACCCACATATAAGAAGTTGTATTTTTTTCAGTTTAGTCTAGGCAGGCAGGTTCTTGCTCAATGAGTTCTTTTATCAATTTAGAGTTATAGGTTCTTGATATTTTCAACTGCACTTGATTATTTTGCAATTTAGACTTAAGAAATTATTATTGGTGCGTATTATTGGGGTCTGAAACACTTCTTATTAGCCTCAAAGCTTTCATCGAGGTAGCTTCTTGTGTGTGGGTTTACTGTAGTTGGGTCGGGGATCCTAATTCCACCTGTCTGTTGTATGCACCGTATATTCCAGCCCGTTGTTTTGTTTTGTGGGATTTCATCAACGTTTCATGTGACTCGCTGCTAAATCACATGATCACCATGATGATAGCTGCGAATTCTTTCCTTTTCTTGCCAATCACAATTCTTATAGAATTCCTATTGTCTTAACATCCAATGAGAAACCTCCATTATCAAAACAACAAGTAAAAATTTATTATTTATAGGTCCAAGTCGTATTGGTATAGACCAAGTCTAACATAGACCCGAAGCGGAAGCAGACGAGAAATTCTCAAATCTTTTATCGATTAAAATCAATTTTTAGGACAGACTGAAATACTTTATATGGAAAAAGAAGAAAACAGAATAATATCCGAACACCGTTTGAAACCAAAACTGTACAGACATGGAAGGGGAAGCAGAGAGTCAAGCCAACAGTCGATTCAACCGGATTTACCAATGGTTTTTATGTGGTTTGAGTTTTACCGTACAGTTCCTCGTGCTCGGTTTTTACAAGGGATTCGGCTCAATATATGTAGCCCTACAAAATGAGTTTCAGGAGAGCGACGCCCTTACCGGTAAGTGGTTTTTTATATAATTCTTTGTTGTCTCGTTGTTCAAATTTAGATTTGCCCTTTTCGGAACTGCCAAGTCCTTCTTCTCCCAAAAGTCTCTGTCAGCATAAAATTCGTTTCATGTCTTGTTCTTTTAAAGTTTAATCTGTGAATAATTTTTGGAGTGGAATATTTATTCGATACATGTAGGCGCTGAGAAGTATTTTATGAATAAGCTTTTGCGAGTAAGTTTCACATCTAAAAGCCCGAAGCCCTGTTTTTTTATTTGATCAACACAAACTTTGCGCAAAACAACTACAAAACTCAGACCAGGACCCACAGTGCTGTTGTGTAGTTTTCTGATTTATTCTATCGTCCATCAAAAAGCAACAAAGCAGGTAAAATAAAAAGGAAGGATTAGTAATTCTAAAAAAGTAAGGTATAACAGCGAAAAACCGGTCGCGTGAGTCTGTGGCCGGCAAACCCCGCTGAATTGTCATACCTACTTTAATATGCAGCAAACTGCGGCAGAAAATGCCATGTGAGAATGGGCGAACAGAAAACAGATTAAAGCCGACAATAGTTGTCAGCAATGTTTTGTTTTTGCAGAATACCGCAACATTGGAGCCTTGTGTTTTTTATTCTTGCTAAAATGAAGGCAAATGGCGGGTGTGATAGCTCGGTAAACACCGTTTCAATTAGCAAAAGGAAATCAGCATATATTCTCTTTTTATAATCAAAGCCTTAGTGGTTTTAAATTTTTTGATTTTAAATGGTTTTAATCAAGGTTCTTGTACAACAGAGCCATGTTTAATATTCACTTTTAGCATTGACAAAACAGGACTGCCGGAAGTAACAATGACTATTTTGTCAATGCCGGAAGTACAAATAACAATTTCGGTCTCGCATGCGTCATCGAAACTGGCTTAATAAATGGGCCAAATATGATAAGCCTATTCATGCGTCTCTCTCCAAGGGCTACTTTTTAAAACTTGCATAAGAGGCTACTACCCCCTGGTCAAATTTATCCTTCAGGACTATCCCCAAGTCAACTGTAAATTGCAAAATTTAAGTAGCACACTAGTTTCAAAGCTACCAGCCGATCCTCTCCAAATATCAAGAGCATGTAGGATCATGGAGGCCCCCTCATGATATGTAGAGTAGAATCCAGTCATAACGTACTCAGTTATTATGTACTTTCGGCTATAACCTACTGGTGTGCTTGGTCCCAGCAAAAGGTGTGCTTGGTTTTAGTCAATTTTTACTTACCCTTGTTACAACGTACTTCGGATATAACGTACTTAATACACTGGTCCCTTAAAGTACGCTATAACCAGATTATACTGTATGTGTATTTTTGAAGGCATGTGTGGTGTTGGTGTGACATCCCTCTGGTGTGTGGGGTGTGGGGGCATGGGGGCGTGACATCCCTTATTATTTACGTGCCTGTAGGTATCAACTTTGCAGATATTTAAAAAAAATTTCCATTACAGAGCCTTGCATTAGCATGGTTTAGAAATCCGATTTCAGTTTGAAAATTGAACTGTTTACTTCAATTTAAAAACAAAAGAACATTTGTATTTGGTCCTCTGATGTTTAACAATTTTCTTTGATCAAGGCTCAATACCTTGTTGCTTCTTGTGAAAGAGATATGTTAGATTAAATTGATTTGCAGCAAATAGCTTTAAATGGGCAAAGCAGAAAAAGGAGAATCAATGTTGATTGACTTTTAGGATATTACTTGTCATCCTTAAATATATCTAAGATGCTTAGATATTGCATTACTTCTTATGACCAGTTTGAATGTTTGTGTTACATAAATCCAAATGTTGGTAATTATAAAGAAATTATAAATAGAGAATTAGGGATATTTCCAAATATTGATAGGTAGTTACAGCAAATTTACAGGTTGAAGTAAAAATCCTTACGTAAAGTTTGAATTTTCATCCTTCCACAATCTCCCAATTTTAGCCATTTGTTTTCGCCCCTGGATACCTAAGCAGCCTCCCGTTTAGTATTATAAATTCCCTAGTGTTTTTGCATATCAAAGTACTTTCTCCTTAATAAAGGACTTCCTTTTAAATAATTTGTGTAGTTTTCTTTTCATAATTTTTTTCACTAGTGCTTAAAATTTAAAAATAACGTTATTTACTGTTTTTTATATCTACATGTGTTAAATAAGCAATTTTCATCTTCTAACAGCTTGGACTGGATCAATATCCTTTGCATTGACCTACATGCTAACGCCACTGACATTCAAGATCTGTACCAAATATGGATTCCGGATCACCATGTTTGTTGGCTCAATCTTTTATGGCCTAGGTCTGTTGACCTCCTCATTTGTCCCGGGTATTCCATACCTTTATTTGACATTTGGAGTTCTCTTTGCCATTGGCCAAAGTCTTTGCTTTAGCGCGTCAATCCTGATCCTGCCCGAATACTTCACAAAAAACTGGTCTTTGGCTCATGGGATAGCACTATGTGGCAACAGCATTGGTGCACTGGCACTCGCCCCTATAATGGAGATAATCCTTACAACTTACGGATTCAAACTTGGGTTTCAAATGGCTAGTGGAGCAGCAATCTATATAATGATTGCATCAATGTTCTACATAAGGCCTAAGAAGAGCAAGCAAACAGAAAATACACAGGGACCCAAGAAAGAAGGAGCAAGACCAGTGCTTCCTCTGAAGAAGAACAAGGCTTATATCACATTCATAACTGGTACTACGCTGATGCATTTTGGGTATTACATACCTTTTGTTCATTTGGTAAGGACATTTTATAATACATTTTATATTTTATATTGTATTATATTTATATATATTATAATATATCTTTTCTAAACGATGTTAGAGAAGGTGATCACCATTAAGATCATTATTATCTCTAGCGACAGTGATGACAATGGTGCTGATTATGATTACTATTATGATAATTTTGAGAGCTATTACCATAAGTAAATTATTTTGTCAACAGAGCAGCTGGATATTCATTGCCGAAATTCTTTGCTTTAATCCTTTAACCACAACAGGGTGTGTTTATAAAGATAACTTTGCAAGCAAATGGACTTTGATTTTTACCATAGGTGAAGTCTATTTATGATGTTACATAACTTTGAAGGTTCAATTAAGCTACAGGGCTGTTATCTAATCCTATGGGTCTACAAAGAAAAGCTTGCTTAATCTGACAACCACGAAAATATTTTGCACTGTAAAAGGCATATAGACCAATTCCCATCCTCCTGTTTGTTCCAACTTTTATTCTGTATGTGTTAAATCATAATCTACGATAATGATAATTTGATTTTTTGCATCTAGGTACGTATGGCAATAGATCTAGGTGTGCCAAGTACAAAAGCAGCACTTCTCCCTGGCTACATGGCATTGGCTCAGTCAACAGGTAAAGTCATCCTTGGAAAAATTGCAACATTCCCAAAGGTAGACAAAATCATTATGTACCAAGTTGCTCTGCTGGCCAATTGCCTTGCGACAACAACCTGCCCAACTATTACAACATATACTGGTCTCATTGCATATGCTGTTGTGTTTGGCTTACAAGATGGTTGCACTTCAGCAAACAACATGTTAGTTATTGGTGACCTTGTTAGCAAGGATCAACTGTCATCTGGGTACAGTGTTTTTCTCCTGACTTCGGCAGCCTCATTCCTCCTTGGCCCGCCAGTAGCAGGTGTGTAGCTACAAAGGCTTTTTATTCTTGTTTCAAATCACAATCCATTCAAAGCATGACAACCTTTTTTGATGACTTAACAGGGATTGTTTTTACTAGCAATTGTATGAAGCAGCAACTGTAGTAAAATTTAGTCCCATCAAGTATTTGTGTGTAAATATACACCATGACTTTCTGTTTCTATAAAAACACTGATGAAGATAACTAGCCAATCTTTTTCCATCAAAAATATCTTAATTAAAGGGCTTTCAAAGCTTTCTAAGAAATACTTCTTCACTAATGTTTGTTTTACTGTGGCAAAGGTTTTTTCTGGTGTAATCATACTGGTGTTATTTTTCTTATTGCTGTTATTTGTTTTATTACATAAATAAACTCTCTTCTCTGCATTTACAGGGCTCCTCTATGATATGACTGGAACATACTCATTAGCATTCTTTTTCTCTGGTGGAACTGCAGCACTTGCAATTTGTGTTTTATTTCAAGTGCCAATATTCAAATCTACTCAAGGAAATCCTGACCAAATTCCTAAGTTGTTGGAGAAGAAGGATGAAGAGGCACAGGTTCTGGTTGATGCAGGAACCTCATCGTCAGAGAAAGATAATTCAAAGCCATCTAGCAGAGGAGATTCAAATGAATACCTTCACATGAGCATAGAAAACAAGACCAAGAATGCCCATATGTACCTAAGAGCAGTTTGGAATAATGATAGGACTGTTTTGATGATGCCTGATGACTCGTTCAGTCAGAAGAAAAAAGCAGCATCAGTGAACAATCTGCTAATGTCAACTGCTGTTTTCCCATTGATCACCACACAAGAGGATCTTGAGGGGTCAATTGAACCTGAAACCGGCATTTAAACTTGCAAGCGTAAAACTTTTTGAGAGAAATAGATCCAATTTGATAACATCAAAAGGAATAATTCAGTTGATACACAGATATGTCAGCAAAGGCTCAGTTCATACAAGACATTAAAGTAAACCACACTGAAGCCTATACAGTTTAAGCAAACATGTTTTAGAGTTTGCTTTGAGCTAGTAAGAGGCTGACCACAAATGATATCTGAAACAACACTCTACCCCAAGGAAGAGGGATAGCAACAAGCCTTGTTTCAGAGCCTGTTCAAAATGTTACGTAATTCTACCGGAAACCGGACAAGATAGAGCCCTGAACATCTCTTTGAAATATTAATTTGGCAAATGTGTTTAGTCTACATTATGAATACACAATTTATGGCAGGTTAGCGATATGCAATCTAGAATAAAATGTTTAACGGCCTGTTTGAGCTGCTGTAAAAACTTGAGCAGTGCAATTTTTGCAATGTAGTTTAGCTTCCCAGTATCATAGTTAGGGGGAGGCAAAGACATTTTTAAAAAGGGCTTTTCCTGGTGTTCTAAAGGTTGTGAGCTTCCATTTCCCCTCACTGAATTTGCCTTAGCCCCCTGCCCCCAAACTCTACCATCCTGGCTATGCGACTGAGAGTATGTCCTGTTTTATCACATCACCTTGCTTGAAGTTCAAAGATATCATTTAAAATAATTTGATTAAATGTAGCAGAATTATAGTATATACTTATAATTTAAGAAATTTATCATGTTCGATATATCTTCAGTTTACAGCAACTCAAATCTTGGCTATCCCTAATAGCTTTGGTTGGAGCAAACATTTGTCAGCTGTATTGTGAATGAGTTTAAGAACAACTTGTTATGAACATCTTCCAGTTCTTAACAAGAATATTTTGCAAACTTTTTAGAATATCTAGTTTAACTTGTTTTACTTTGTGTTTTCAAGAATATCAGTTTCAGGAAAACCAGGTTCCTTTAGTTCTGAAATGTAAAAAAACCCGATTGCCATTATTCAGACAAAGCTTATCTTTTAAGAGACTTTTCTAAATCACTGGCTATACCAGCCACCAGTTCAAATATTGTATGTTATCTCTTAAGTGTATAGTAACTTATGGTTTTCAAAAGCTGTATTGCCCTGAGAGGATTGCGTTAGGATAGCATTTTTTCTATCCTTCTGTCTAGGATAGCATTACTAAATTAATTAGCAGTAAATTAACCTTTCTAATATTATTGAAATAGAACAATTTTCCAATTTAGTGTTTCCTTTTAAATATCTCTTGAATAATGTTGATAGCAGCCAAATTTTGATTTTGAATTTTTCCAGCAGTTTGACCAAAAACCAAAACAAAATACTTTAAAAGTTATCTAAACCAATATTGAGAAAGGTCTATGTCTTAAGATTTTTGAAAATCAAATGTAATTGGTGGCTTTATGGGGCAGTGGACACCGAAGACACACATTATATCAGGCTTTCGTGGGAAAATATAGCAGCCGTGCTAAACACCGCACCCCTGAAAACATCCAGGCGTGTGATGGCGTGTGACATTTTTTCACAAAACATTTTGGTAATTATGGTAGATCTACGGAGAAATGGCCAACACGAAAATGATGACAGCAAAAATTTCAATGAAATTTACTTCGCTGAATTCTTACCATGACTACTTACATTTTAGCAATTGAGCAATTTTCTAAACAAGTATAAACTGAGCTTATTTAATATATCCAAAAAAAGGCACTACAAAAATAGAAATATGTTTGCCATGTCGAAAGCAGTTTTCATTAGCTTCAATAATGAATCCTTAGCAGAATCATTGATGCTTTGGCGTTCATATGGTTGTAATGGCAGTTTTTGCGTGTAAATCAGTGCATCGAGAGCCCTTTGTTATCAAACATGACAGCTATTTTGTCTACCTCACTGGCCAGATGCATAAAAGAAAATGATGGCCCAATTTTCATTAAATCAAATGTTGCTAAAATCTAGATTTAAAGCATAGCGATGTCTAAAGAGGGGGCTGTAGGGGGTAGCGAAATCCAGCAAATCCTCTGTTATTTTTTCCGCATCATTGGCAAATCGGCTCCTTTTTATCGCATAAGCGGCTACTTTCGTACATTAGCGATAGAAAATGAAAGTCTTGTTCAAAACACTTAATGTTTCATAATATCGGGATTCCACTGTAGATTAGTTCTATGATTATTTCAAAATTTTATATTTAATCGGCAATCCTGAAAAAGTGTTAAGCCTTTTTGAAGTGGCATGAAGTAATAGTACCAAGGAGGGATCAATTTATTAACTCATCTCAAAAACCCGCAAAACCAATAATTATGAATTTTGCTCCGATAATAAAAGAAGGCGTGCGATGTTTTGCACTCCTGGAAAGCAGCAGGCGTGCGCCAGGGTAAAAATAGTGGCGGAGCCACGGGAGGAATGGGGGGACTAGTCCCCCCAACTATTCCAGAAAGTTGGTCCTTGAGATTCATGCAAACCTGATGAGAAAACTTCAGGGAGGGGGGGTATGTACGTTATCTAGATCGTCACATGTAAATGACATTTCTTGGGAGACAACAGGCGTTTCCTCCGGAAGAAAAAGTTTCAAACATGGGAAACGGGCGCGGTCCAAAATGGCGTTATCCCTGACACACCTTTTGTCCCCCCCCCACTTATCCCAGGCTGGAGCCGCCACTGCGCGGCAAGGTTTTTCCCTTTACATCAAAGGTTTTGAAAAAAGCTCCATGTCGAATAGGAGTAACGTAAGAATGGACAAGCTACTGTCAGTCATAGACAGGACATATAGCCTGACAATCTGACATTCAAGCTAATGTTTACTTTCTCAACGGATTCTTGTAGTAGGGAGTCCAGGCTTTCATAATCTGCCAGGTGACTTTTTTGAAAATGTCTGGATGTCACAGGACTGACGACGTCATATAACGGTAAAAAATCAGACAAAACCATCGCTAGCTCTTTACTGGATTGTTATTTTTTGACGCAAATTACATATTTTGACTCGTCTCATTGTAAGCTTTTAATTGATGTATATTTAAGAATGATTTGCCAGCATAAGTATTTTTATTATGACGTCATCAAAAATTTTGCATGACGTCATCAAAGATCTTTTTGTCATTAAATGATAAGTTGACATAACTTTGTATTAATATGAGGCTGGATGTCAGGAAAAGCATTTCATCTATAATTTTTTCAATTAAATAATTAGTATTGTTATACAACTTGTTTTGTCTTTCGTGCATCGTGTTTGTGGTTCGTTATCGTTAATGAGAATGTCTTTCGATGTTTGCGTCAGTAATTTTGTTTGTCATCGTGCCATCTCTTTTTAGTTGTTATTAGTTCATTTGCCGTTAATTTGTGTCATTAGGGTTTTGTGTGCGTCACTCATGTTGTTAAAAGCGTATGTTCGTTGAGTGCAAGTCCAGTCGAGTCGAAGTTGTCGTTGAAAGAAGTCGTTATGTTGTAATCGTTGGTTGTTGCTAATTTATACTTTCACTATTGAAGAATCTTGGTTTAAAAAAAAACGTTATTTAATATTGGTGACCACGACGTGACAAATTCGCAGAAAAAATGGAAATGATTTCAACAGAACAATTCAGAGAAGTTCTGTTGGATATTATAAAGACCGTTGTATCTCACATGGCCGAAAGGGTGAGGTTGGCAGAGGAGAATGGGAGAAATTTCTTCGTGAATCGAACTAATGTCTATCGTGCTGAAGATGGCCAGCCCATTTGCTATTGTTGTTTGCGCGTTGGTCACGTTGCCAAATATTGTAGGGACAGGAAATTTTCTTTAGCATCCCAGGAGAAGTGTGATCAAAATGAACCTGTGATTGTTGCCTCGGTAGCTGAAGAGCGACCTCGGGTTACCTTTATTGGCAACATCAAAAGAAATGAGCCACATTTTCAAGATCTTCAAACTCGAGTTAAGAAATTGGAGGAGATTGTCAATGAATTGGAGTCACATAAACTATCACGACCAATGGTGACGCGACTGCTTTCTTCAAAACCAATGGAAGTTGACGAGGGTTTATTAGCCACAACATATGAAAAAAATTTGATTGACACTAAAAGAAGAGAAGGACCTTTACGTGTACATAATGTTGTTATAGCCTCGGGTAGAGAACCGTATGGACGGAATAAACTTGGACAGGGACATTATTTCTTAGAAGGTACTTGATTTACTCATTTCAGTAAAATTATTTGATTTGATTCTTCGTGCTGCCTTATAATACTTTTATGTTTCTTCCCCTTCGAGAGATCAAGCCAGGAGGCTTGTCTTTCAAAGGGGGGAGTAATGTTATACAACTTGTTTTGTCTGTCGTGCATCGTGTTTGTGGTTCGTTATTGTTAATGAGAATGTCTTTCGATGTTTGCGTCAGTAATTTTGTTTGTCATCGTGCCATCTCTTTTTAGTTGTTATTAGTTCATTTGCCGTTAATTTGTGTCATTAGGGTTTTGTGTGCGTCACTCATGTTGTTAAAAGCGTATGTTCGTTGAGTGCAAGTCCAGTCGAGTCGAAGTTGTCGTTGAAAGAAGTCGTTATGTTGTAATCGTTGGTTGTTGCTAATTTATACTTTCACTATTGAAGAATCTTGGTTTTAAAAAAAAACGTTATTTTACAGTATTTAGATCATTTAAATTACGTTTGTGCGAACTGCAGTAGCCAAAGTTCGAACAAGGTTCGAACATATCTGACGAGTCAGTCACTTCTTCCTCCGTAGTTGCAAAGTCTTGCTCCCACTCTGAACCGGATAATAAGTTCTTTGCATCTACATTTGACTGTTGCACAGAGTCGGAAGAATGTCTTGGAACTATAGGCTATCTAAGATGCCTTCGCCCTGGGCTGAAGGTACATGACTTTCTTCAATAAGACTATCTTCTGCTGCGAAATATGAACATCTCATCAATACTCTATTTGGAGTTTTCTGGTGGTGGATTTACATATGGATTTGACTCCTTGCACACGAAATTAAGAAGAACAGCTTCATTTCCTTGTCACAGTACACTTCAGGAGTTGAAAGACTAGAACTATGGTTTCGATGAGTATGCAAATGCCTTTTCGATAGAGCCTTGCCAGTCTCGAGACCTTGGTGGTCTTCGTTCATTATTGAGACTGCTTTCGATGTTTTCTTGGATTTTTGTGTGCGCAACAAAGTAGAGGTGAGTCGTCAAGGCAAGTGCATAAAAAAAGTTTAGAGCAAAAGATACTCCAAGGTAAAAAGGGTTTTTTACAATGATGCAAACAAAGAGAATCTAATGAAACTTGCTCCCAAATTATTTCGAAGCACTGAGGGTCACAGGCTCCAGACAATTCCATTGGTTATGACTTACGGAGAAGAAGCACCGGAGACTTCAAAAAGCAAATAGAAGTCCTTCCAAGATGTAACTACAAATAGGCTTGAAATCAGAATGATTTTACATGTCACCTCGCAAGATGCAAAAGTAGTTGTTGTTGCGAAGGATACTGATGTATTTGTGCTGCTTGTTCATGCAATGCAGGAGTGCAAACCCACAAATGAGTGGTTTATGTGCATAAACAACAAACAAATCGTCGAGATTTGAGGCATCGCTGAAACTTTTGGTTACAAAAATTGCTGTGTCCTTCCACAGATCCATGGAATTATGGTCTGAGACTCTCAGAATAAGTTATTGCCGACGCAAAGACATTCGAGAAACTGTAGAACATAGTGGAACACTATATTAAAGCCGCTTAGGGACAAGGATTCATATATATCAAATCTGAAAACAAAATCATCTGCAGCAGTTCCACAGATCCACAATCATTCAATCAGAGAAAAACTAAATTGTGTCGACTTAACAAGATTATTTTGGTTACCGTGTTTAGATGCAATTACTACAAGACATGTCCCAAATGCCTGCAGTTGAAATTCGAACTTGATCGTTTATAGTCTAAATAGTCCGCAGGAAAGCAGCTTCCCCATCTCAAAAGAAGTAAAAAAAACATCCAAGGTGTGAAAAAAAGCTTCTTTTGCAGCACAAGGATATGAAGATGTCCCAGAAGATGAATTTACGCATGGAGAAAATCATGCCCCTTCATACCCAGCGCTAAAGACCTATAGTGCGAAGACATCTTGGACAGCCTATAATAGTGCGAAGACATTCTATTCTTCCAACGCAGTGCAACAGTCAAATGCAGATGCAGAGAGCTTATTGTCCGGTTCAGAGTTGGACCATAACTCTGAACCAGGCAATAATGCCTTCCGAGGAAGAAATGATTCATTCGTCAGG